ATAAGCCATAGATCTGAGTCTGAGGTAGAACTGAACTTCTTGAACATCACAACGGAGAGGCTCGTTGGCAACTCGTTGGTTTCAATTTGGACTTTTAAATATTATCATCATCACTCAGCAATTTGCGAAAGTAAAGTTAAAATAATTAATAATTAATAATTACACATTCGGTTATCAGCCTTTAAAAGTGGTGTTCCAATGCGTGTGCGCTGATTTTCTCGAACTTGTTATCTTTAGACTTGTGAATGCGGGAGCAAAAAGCCGTATTAATTTTGCCAACTTATAAAACAGGGCAACTTTGTGAATAGTGTAAACAAAATTTTATTTGGGTATTATACTCGTAATTTCGCAAAATTGATAGTCCGTAGACCCTGCCTACCCTCTGCGGTAGCAGAGGTGAACGTTTATGTTTATTGTTTTATAAATTCTCCTATTCAATTTAAAAATATTTGCAGTAGTACAAAATAGGATCTGATGTTTGAAATGGGTTCAAGAGATAACATTCTCTTTTGCATTACTGAGTTTGTTTATGTCAAATGCTTTTAATGTACGTTTCAAATATTTGCACGTAGGAAAAACTAACCTTGCAAATACTTGAGATAAGGAAATATCGGCACCCAAAGAAGGTTCTTTGTGGTGTGTTTTTTTTTAAATGAAAACTTCTTTAGGCACGTTGGGCAACTTTAGGATAACGAACAAGTAGTAAAATTAAAAACTTTGTACAACCGACTCCAATAAAAAAAAAATTAAATACACATTATTATGGATAACTCAAAAACTACTAGTCAGATCTTGATCAAATTTATATAAGACCACACGAGAAGCACCAGCTTTCATGTCGGTTTCTAAGTCGGGTTATCCCGAAAAAGTTTTGAGGTAACACACATAAAAATAACATTTAAGTATAGTCATAGGGCTGCCAACCCCAAATTTAAAAAACTAGGTTTTGGAGTTGGAAAAACCAGGAATATTCAGTTTAAAAACAGGACGCAGTAAAGGCCTTGTCAAACATAACTGCGAACCAAACTAAACGGAAAACGTGGCGAATGTATGTACTATGGCTGCGTTTGGCAGAAAAAAGCGCTAGCAAGCGCTTGTAAGCAAAATGGCGATCGTAAGCGGTAAGCGCTGTCAAATCGTAAGTAGCTATTTTCCTCCAGGACACGATGTTAGTTTTAACCGCGGAACCTAACCTAATTTAAATATATATTTGTAAAGTATTCATATTAAAAACTTACAGATCATGAATTTTTAATAAAATGTATATGTTTATTCATGTCAATATATTACTTAAAACTAATATTGCACAAAACAACTTAATAAACTCTACTTCAAAACAAACAAATTAAGTAAGCAAAATGGCGGATTGTGTCAGCGCTACTGAAGTAGCAATCGTGTCCTGGCCGAAAACTATTTCAGCGCTTGTAAGCGCTTGCTAGCGCTTTTTTCTGCCAAACGCACCCTATGTATGCAAGTATCGTTTCGTTTTCGCTTTTTATATGTGACTAGATTCAAACGATACCATACCAAATAAAAACTTTTCGCCACGCTATCAGTTCGCTGACTATTTGACTCGGGATTAATAGAGTTGCAATAGTTAAATTAATATGTAGTGAAAATTGGTTAAATGAAATACAAGTAATGATAATAATCATATTTTTTGAATAACATTAAAAAGGTGTTGAAAATGAGTTATCAAAATATAAAACAATCACTTTAGTTTATAACAAATTCTTCAAACTTAGCTTAGTTATAGTATCTAATAAATTCTAATATTACAAACTTATTTATTTTTACTATACTTTTTCAATCCATTTTTTATTTCAGTACCTATGATTAAGTTAACAAATAATCATAAAATTGTTCGCACTTCACATCTATGTTATAGATAGTGAGGTGGCCGGTAACGTAAGAATTATAAAAGTGACACGCGAATTTTAAAATTCATGACCTTAAACAACTTAAAAACTATCCAGGACAACCCAGGATACTACAAAAACTAGGACATGTCCTGGGAAAACAGGACGGTCGGCAACCCTTTATAGTCGAATAGAATATCTCCTAATTTTTGAAGTCGGTTGAAAAGCACCAAACTCGCGTGGTCGTCTCGCTGAGATACATAAAGACCGATTTACACTTCGACAAGTACAGTAGCGAGTTTAGTTACAGGGCAGTTGACAGTAAACGATTAAGTGGGCAGTAGCGTTCAATCAATGTCTTAGTGGCGAGTTTAGTTAAGGACATTAGTTCATAGAGTTCTTTTGAGTGTGACGTTTCAAGACTACAGAATTTTTCTTGTTTTCGTTTAGGATGGTTCAAGAATTACTTCAAGAATTAAATTTTATAGTCAGAGAAATATATATAACTCGTAGTTGTTAAAGAAGTTTTTAAGAATTTTCATGAGTGCAGCATCTTGAATGGGTTTCATTTTATAATTTGAACTTTTATATAAACGACTATTATATAAACATTCATGTTCTAAATACTCCTGTACGAATTTATACGGGTTATCTTCCGTGCATTCATTATTAAAACTCAATATAAAACATATAATTATATATTCAATAAACAGTGCCGTATAAACTTTGTGGCGAGTTTGATTATAAAAGTACAATTATTCGTTTTGGCGCGTAAACGTTGCGTCCTGTCAACTTATGCACTGAACTAAACTCGCTCGTTCACATGACTGGCGAGTTTAGTTATGGGTGGCAGGAGACGCGAGGTAGGGCAACACTTCGCACTTAACTCGCTGAAAAATAGCCCAGCTGGCTATCCCGTTCAACTTAATTGTTAACTTGCTACTTAACTCGCTTATTACAGTTCAAACGAGATTTTCTATTAACTCGCCAGGTTTGCAAGTTAACTCACTACTGTACTTGTCGAAGTGTAAATCGGTTATAAAATTTAGGAAAATCCAATAGATTAAGTTTTATAAAATTGATACGTATTTATAAATTCTTTTGTACTATGTAGATAATAATCATTATTTTTCATGTAAATATAAAAATACCTCCTAAAATATATCTTTACAACCTAAAATTTATATTTACAGGTTTGTGAAGCTAAAAGTTTTCACTTCTGACGTGCACTCCTACGGCTGACAGTTTTTTTTTAAATAAACTGGACGTGACAAACGAACTTATAGCTACTGCAGCCTATGGACATCCGCGGACAACTTTAAAACACTGCTACGTTCTGGTCTAAAGAGTATAGAGAGCCAGTATAAATTAAGGTTGTGTGGTATTCCGTCTTAGTTTTCAGCGGTGACAACGCATCTGTACAGTCCTTACGGATTTTATCGCGTGTAATATTAACTTATTTTATATTCCCGATGTTTCGAGCACTGTACATCAGCCATGTTCACGGTCACATATTCATTTTTATTTTGTTTTATTTTGTCGTCGTTATAATTTTAATCTGGAGGTAGCCGTGGTTAACTATGTACGACATTGAGACGTCGTACACTTCAGTCCCCCCGTGACCATAGGTGCTGTAAAGTATTCAAAACGTCGGGAATATAAAATAAGTTTACGCGATAAAAGCCGGAAAAACTAGTTTCATTTAAATAGTTTCCAACACAGAAACCATAACGCACCTGTAGCTTTCTTTGTTTGAAATTAGCTGAGGTATCCATGAACTGCAGTGGGCACTTACCATAAGGTCCAGTCCAGTGACTAAACTGTAGGTTTGTTACTTTAGTTTATTTTACTTTCAACATGTCTTTTGTACTGCTGCGGCAATTGGTTATCACTTAGCGCGAGATAAAGACAGCCAACAGCGCTGGTTTTAGTGAAGTCTGCTGTTTTACTAGGTATAACATATATCTAAACTCACCATACGAAATTTAGAAGAAATAAGCTGCTATTTTACGCTGGTATTCTGAGAGATCGTGGTCTTTTCTCGGTCGAGCCAATCCATTCGTGCTACATTTATAATATATCTGCATCATGATTCTACTGCGTAATAGTCATCATACGAAACAAAGCAGAATTTAGCTGTTATTTTACTCTGGTATTTTGAGAGTGTGTTCCTTCCCCGGCCGAGGCGATTCTTTAGTGCAACAAGTATAATAACAGTTATCATGTCTATGGTTATATCATATTAAAACTACATATTAGTACAATACCTAGTGTGGCAATAATAAAAATAATTGTATTAATCCGTGTAGTGGCGGGGTAAGACAATTCACTATCTACTACTATGGAGATGGGGAACATAATCTTCTTGTTATAAACTCATAATGATGAAATACTGTGGCTGGTCAAGCGTTGGTAATAGCTCCTACGAGATGATCTTTGGGAGAAACCTACGTAGACTTTTGATAAGTTATATTAAATGCATAATTGGATATTATGAAACCGTGGTAACTGTGTGGCTTAGCGCTTTTCTAAATTTAACAGTACCCGAATAACACGGTTTCTATGCGAACCGGCACGAATTAAATTGTCAAGTTGCAATTTTTGTGCTGATTCTAATAGTGTTCGACGGCAAAGGAAAACTTCGTAAGGAAACCTGCATGTCTGATAAATTAAAAAGCTCAGATAGGGCAAAACACAATACAATTTATATATAATAAAATAAGAGTTTAAAAAACTTAAACAACACGCAATAATCCTGATTAGGATATTAGAATGAAATTATTAAATTATTATATTGTCATCGGTCCTCGACGCGAGTGCAAATTTTGAAGTAAATCAGCCGTCTACAAGTTGTTGAAAATTACATACGAAGTTAATAAAAGCGTTGACTTTCAAATCGTCAGGTAAAGTTATCCATTCAAGTAAACTATAACCTGACTGAGTATAAAAGTGAAACGTTTGAATTACTTTGTTGATACAACTGTAATTTTTAATTTGTTTATGTTTCTTTTTACCCTAAATAATTGTTATCTGAACAGAGTAAATTCTATTATCAAAAAGAATAGTCGGCATAGGGACGCTTATTCCCTCGTAATAAAAAACAATTCGCGCCTCTTTTGTCCTAACGTAAATTGTCTTCTATCATGCAGCAGCGTTTGTGCAGTAATTTTTTTTATCTGCGAAGAATTTTCTCTTCAAGTTTATAACGACACAAGCGCCTGTGCCCAGGGTTGATTTTAGTAGGGAAGACATGTTTAACAGTACACCCAGGAGTCCTATCGGCAGTGGTGAGGATATGGATGAAGCGGCGCTCTTATATACAACTCGGTTGGTCGGTTGCAAGCTTCGATAGTTGTCCACGCCACCGACGTCTACTTGACGAATCATTTTGTACTAAAATAAAGATTAATTATAGATAATTTATTGATGTCATGTTCTACGTACCTACTGTATATTCTATCTTGACAAAACATTCGGAATATAGTTAAATTAATTATTTTAAGACGTTCATAATGATTTTTTTTGTTACTTTCTCAAAATTAGATCAGTCTAGTATTTGGTATATTATATCCAAATCCCATAAGTTGGTGAGGAGTAGCAATATCAATAGTGTGGCCTATCGGTACTGATCTTTACACTCGCTCGCGAGAATTGGGAGAATTTATTTTTTAGAAAACTGAAGTGATAAAAAAAATCGTTATTTTTTTTATTAAATAATAGTTCAGTTGTTGCTTTAAATCGCTGGCATGACACCTGCAGTTAACTCCAAACAAGGAAGTTGTTCAGTTAGTTTAGTCACATTTTAAAAGACCTATGATAAATAAAAAAAGGCTACAATTGGGGAAGAAGCTTATATCACTTACTTGGTAGTCGGATATGCTGATGGGATGGTCCATAACAATCCAAGTGACCACTTCCTGACAATCAGGCGTCGTCAAGGAACCGTGGTATGTGTAGAATGACTGTGGCTGCGGACTCAGGAGGCGACTGTTGACATAAATTTGATCTATGTTGTGGATAGAATGGAATAGACTAGATTAACAAGTTAGGGAAAAAGTTTCTTCGTATTTTATATACAAATTCAAGAATTTTTTTCAAAGTTTAAATACATAATATAATTAAAATAATAATATAAAATATATTATACATGTGCTATTAAAAATAATCCCGTTGCTGTAGAAATGTTGGAATTTTTGATTAAAAAAATATAACAAGTAATTTTCACAGTCCACTCTTAATGTTAACCTAGCACTATCCAAAGAATTCTAAAGAGACCAAAATAGGTGAAAATCTGGGGGTGCAAGGTCAGGACTATATGTTGGATGCATTAACACTTCTCAACCAAGCTCTGTCAATTTTTGCTGAGTGGCCAAATGTGTGTGTGGTCTGGCGATATCATAATGAAAGGCCACTCCTTTTCTGTTAATCAATTCCAGCTGTTTTTTTATAGCCAAACTTTTTCAAATGGGTCAAAACTGTTTTGTGATCAATCCTCAATTCTTCGGATACATTGTAACTACTAAAATGCTGATTTTGCTCCACTTTATTCAAAACTGGCATCGACAATATCCGTATGAGGGCGACCAGAGCGAGCTGTATCTTTGACATCAAAACTCCCGGACTGTAAACGCTTGAAACAACTTTGTGCTACTCTTACTGACACTGTACTTGGTCCACAAACTTCAAACATTTTTTTTATTATTAAACTTCAAAATATATCGAATTTCTCCGTTATATTCACTCATTTTGGGGGACAGAAAAACAATTGAAAAATGGCGGGAAACTGTTTTTTTACTACTTGTTTTTTTCTTCTTAATGACCTATTTGTAATAATATTAAAACCAGCCGGATAAAACAGTATAACCAAAGAAATTTTTCTTCAAATTTATACGAATAAAATACGAAGAAACTTTTTTCCGACGGAATCACTAAGAAAAGCACGGCATTTTGAAATGCAGCCACTGCTTCCTCGGCGTCCATAAAACGTTTATTTATTTATTTAGAAAACCAACAGCTTTAAACTATTAAAATTTACAACAGATCGGATTATCTTAACATAAGCCTTATTACAGGTTTCCCTATATTATCTAAACATAATTTAAAAGAATGAGCGACGATTCCTTATCGGTATAAAGAATAATCAGCGGTACTACTATAAACATTGTATATACAACAACATAATGTGTGTGTGTGCATGCGTGCGTGCGTGCGCGCGCGCGGGGGGCGTGGCGTGTGTGTGTGTGTGTGTGTGCGGTGTGTGTGTGTGTGTGTCTGTGCTCATATATTTGATCTGAGTTAATACCTTAATCATGAATAACTATTGAAGAGATTTTTGCATACTTCAGTTTTATAGTTTTCTCTCTTTTTCGTAAAAATATCAATATTGTCAAAAAAAATTATTATAGGTGCAACACATCCGGATTTATTGGTGAGTTTTTGGTATATTTCGTATGAGAGTGAGAGATGAAAAATAATTTAGTGTGTCTAGTACGATATATGGGTGTGGAGAAATTGATAAGTCCAAGTAAATGCGAATTATCTAGGCGGCCGTGAATGAGATCATATAATGTCATTTGATCAAGCAATTTTCTTCTATCTGCTAATGAAAGGAGTTTATAGAATATACATCTTTCTTTGTATGTTTGATGTTGTTCTTTAATTTTATAATCCATAAACTTCAAAAATTTTTTTTGCAATACTTCTATTTTGTTAATATACGTATAGTATTGTGGACACCATACGTTGCTACCATACTCTAATATACTGCGAACGTAGGCATAATATAATACTTTAATACAGGGTAAGTTATTGAAAGGTTGGCATGTACGTATTAAGAAGCCTAAGTTTCTATATGCTTTATTTGTGATGTAGTCAATATGATTACTAAATGTAAGCTTGGAATCCAATAAGATACCAAGATCTCAGATTACCTCTGTTTTTTGAATTATTGATCCGTTCAATTTGTATGCATGTTCAACCGGTTTAGTTTTGCGTGTAAATGTGCAAGTTTGACATTTCCTGACATTAACTGTGATTCGATTATATTTGTAATAATGGTCCAACCTGTTTAAATCTTCTTGAAGCTTATGGCAATCATTTAAATTGTTAATTGACATTTGCTACCGGTGTTTATGTATATATATCATATAGATAGGTGTTATACAGAGGGGCTAAGTGAGACCCTTGTGGCACACCAGATGTAATTTTTATAAAATTTGATCTGTGTCCTCCTACAACTACTGCTTGGGAACGATTTTTTTAGGTAAGACTCAATCCATCGCAAAAGGTCCCCGTGTATTCCTAGTATTTTTAACTTACGAAGCAAGATGACGTGATCCACGCGGTCGAAGGCTTTTTCGAAATCCGTGTAGATCACGTCAACCTGCCCCCCGCCATCCATATGATTGATAGTCTCTGTGATAAAATGTGTTAGGTTACTAATAGTTGATCTGCCTTTGAGGAAACCATGCTGAGATTCTGGTAAACCTCGACTTAAGGTCGGGTAAATGTAATTAAATACTAATTTTTCGAATATTTTCGCGAATATATTAAGTATAGATAAAGTCTATAATTTTCAACTTTAATACGGGTTCCTTTTTTAAATATGGGTACTACATGAGCTTCTTTCCAGATGTATGGGAAATAACCTTCCTGAAGAGATCTATTGAATAAAATGTGAAGAAGGCTCAGACAATGACTTAGCACATTTGAATATAAATATAGGTGGGATTTTGTCACTACCCGGTCCCTTTTTTACATCTACTTTCTGTAGCGCTTTAAAAAACATCTGCCTTGGAAATCCGAAAGCAATGTAAATGTCGGTCGTTGCTACTAGAAGGTATAGGTAATGCAACATCAGGATATGAAGGAGCAGGAGCGATAAAAACACTTTTGAAAAATGAACTGAAGACTTCTACAATTGCTGGGCCTTCGCTATGCGTTGTATTTTTATACGACATTTTATTTGGATAAGAATAAGTATTACCACGTTTTGATTTGATAAAAGTCCAGAAACATTTAGGGTTATTCAGTATGGCTTGTTGAGTAGTATCCAAATAATTATTATAACATTGTTTATTATAAACTGACGCACGCTTACGTAATAAAGAGAACATATTGTAATCCGCTAAGTTATGAAACTTTTTCCAATTTCTGTGAGCCTTAGCTTTTTCTTTTAAGATATTAATCAATGTTTTATTATACCACGGGGGGCCTTTTCGTGTTATGAGGTAGAGATATTACACTTGGTACATATTTGTCTATGCAATAATTGAGCTGTTTGTAAAAGAAATCTACAGCTTCTTCAACATGTCCAGTGTTTAAATGAGTGGCCCAGTCGATTTCACATAAATATGTGTTTATTTTAACAAAATCAGCTGAATACAACTTATTTTTCTTAATAAAAGAGCATTTGAGAGGAGGGATAGCCACATTTAAGTCAAATTCGAAGGGAGGATGAAATATAAATTTTCCTCGAAGTTTTTCTTTCATTTTCGGAAATAAATAAAAATCCCAAAAGGCGTGACGTAAGAAGTAGTCGATTGTATGCTTGACGGTGCGCGACGAGGCGTTGTCATGGTGAAGGAGGATTCTACTGCGAGGTCGTTTCTCTCGAACTTTTTCCAGTACAAGTGGCAAACAATTATTAGTGTATTATTCTGCAGTAACTGTTTTTCGGTCCTCTAAAACAATTGTTGCGTAATGACATGTTCTTTCGAAGAACGAGGTCACCGTCTTTTTTCCCACGCTTCGACCTCTCTTCACTTTAGTTGGCAACTCCTCGGAAGGAAATACCCAGACAGCAAACTTTCTCTTAGTTTCGGGATCATAACAATAAATCCAGCTTTCGTCACCCGTAAGTATGTCGAACACAGCATTTGAGTCACCTCTGTTAAATCTTTGAACCATTTCACGACACCAATCAACACGACGGAGTTCTTGGGCCTCTTGGGTCAAATTATGAGGTATTCACCGGGCACAAAGCTTCCTGACCGCTAATGAAAGAATGTTCATGGAGAATTTTGTGCACTTGCCTCATAATGATGCCTTAGCTTGTCCGAATCTACTGCTAAGTCAGTCTTTTGTCAGACAATTTTCAATTTGCCGCCAAATCGAAAACCAATGACAGAAAAGAGTTCCATTTTCAAAATTAGAATTTATTATTTTATTATATCGTTTACAAGTAGCCAGTTCTAAAAACTTTCAGAGTCGCCTTCGTAAATGACCATTCCTAAAATTTTGAATACAATGAATATTACTTGAAGGTGAACCCCTTAAATTGCAGCTTAATTGTGTTTATACAGCTGTTTTATATAACACGTTCGATACAAAGTTTATTAAAATCATTTGTTCCGATCAAAAGAATAATTTAAAATAAATGCACCTTATGTAAATTAATACAACTGATAATTTGTCATGTAATTGTACATTTGTCTTTTATTGTTACAATTTTTCTTTCTTTTTAATTTATTTATGAAAATATCTAGATTTTCACTCGTTATCTTTACTAATGAAACTATTATTTTATTTGTTAACATTTAAATGCACATTTTTTTAAAAGTTTATTCTCAAATGTAAGTTTCCCAGTACGGGAACAACGTTAGTTCGATTCCCGTCGGCACTAATGAAATTGCTAATTGCATTTTTAAATGCTGATTTACCACGTGATCGGTGGTGAAGGAAAACATCGTGAGGGAACCTGCATGTCACGCGCCACTACGCGTTGGAGCACGGCCTACTGATTGCCCTAAAACTCTCTCGGATATAGGATTAGATCTGTGCCCAGCATGCAATCCCACGTGGTGATTAAGCTCTTGCCCTGAAGATGCCCAGATTGTATTCGGACAGAAAGACATACGCCGGCAAATTGTTCCACTCTTTTCCTGTACGCATTACAAAAGACGGTGCAAAGTTTGCACTGCTGTTTTATTCGAAAGTAGGGTTGCCAGATGGTCAGAATTCGTCTGGATTTAGGATAAGTTAATGTATGGCCTTTGATTTAATAAAAGCCGAGTGAGTAATTTGACTGAACTTTGAAGTAAATTGTTTGAATTTTAATATATTTTCTGAATATATGTATTTATCTCTGGACTCAGTAAAGTCCAATGCCAAATACACGGGGCAATGTAAATATTAAGTGTACTTAAATTAGTTTTGTTTAAAGTAATTTTTGTAATCTCTTAATTAAAAAAAAAAACTTTTATTTTTAATATTCAGTTCTCACGACAAGAACTTCAAAATCCCGACTTTGTCAAAATTTGTCCAGATATTTTGGGCTACCGATCTGGCAAAACTATTCAAATGTGTGGAATATCGATAACAAAGGGGCGAAGATCCGCCGACGGCCTGGTTGTCTGATGGTAGAATCATGTAGCAAAGATATGGCGATTTCAGTAAAGCTACAGTCTGTATACGATCCACTTTTGGGCACCGGCCAGCAGTCTAGAATTTCTTATAATGCCATTATATAGTATAAACATAATCTACTTACGATAAATTCAACGTTGAGATGAAGCCGGGTCCCGATGTTTTATTGTAGAGCGTTGGTAACAAGGGCTCTATCTCTTGTAGACTGTACTCACTGTTCTCATCAGCGTGAACCTGTCAGAGTTATTCATGTGTTAGTTTTAAGATCCTTCCACGAAGATGATGAACTCTTAACGTGTTCACTGTGATTCCGATCAACAAATGACTGAAACAATTAACTACAACAGAAGACCCGTGTTTGTGGGTCACTTTACACAGGCATGGGTCTGGTCACAACCAGACTATAGGGCTCGGTGGCGGAGTGGTAAGGTTGCGGATCACTGATTCGAATCTCGAACGATATAGCTATTAGTATGGTATAATAATAAAAATGGGTCTGGGTGTTTGCCTATATGAAATTTAAGTATGAAAATCGTCATAGTTTTCTTAAAGCGTAAAACCTAGTCGTATCTATAGTAATGCCCGTATCTATTATAACCTAATAGTCGGTAAAATGTAGAATAATAAAATATTAATGAGATAAAAAAAATTATGTGTAAGAATACTGTTGAAAATCGCAGTGTTTGGCAACCCCCACTAGATAGAGTGACGGTATCTGACGAAAGACGCACGCAGTCGATGGATGCAGGTGGCTCGTGAGCTTAGTATATCTACTTTGAGAAACACTTTTCTTCACACTATCACCGCTACCACTACCGTCAACAACACTACTGCCTACTTTTAAAAGATGTTATATATTAGGCATAAATATAAATAATTGGAACGTAGAGACTCAAATCTTTCTTTCTTTTTTAAAATATTACCAATAGGTAAGAGGTAAGAGGATATTAGGCATCTGGTATCAAGACAAAATCTCAGGTGGTAGAGGAATCCTACCATTTAGTGGTGTCTCAGCGATTTATAAATCCTAATCAATGTTACATGTTTAAAATAACTTTAAGAATAAAGAGACAGTTACAAAAGCATACGCCTGGCAACGATGAAAACCAACCGATGAAACTGAAACTAGTCGATGACACCTTATTACTTGCATATAGATCCGTAGGTTTTTTGTGTTATAGAAGAAACATTGAAAAAAGAGCACAAACCCTCGAGAGCACGTAAACATTACACCTTCATCTATACTCGATGGTATATCTCGTTACCAGTTAAAAGGCTCTCCGATTTCCAAGACTTACCAGCGTAATCTATGACAGCGTAGTTCTCCCTCGGTCGAGCCATAATACAACTGAAGTATGGCTCTACCAAATTCCAAAATATATATCACAAAGTTTAAATGAAGACTATTACTTGACAGTTAAAAGTTATGCATCTATCGGTGTGTCAAGTAAACGTATCTCATTCATTATTTATATCAATCGTTACCTGACATAGCACAGCGATGACTGCCAAACCATCAGGTAGTTTTAAGGCTTCTTCAATTGTAAGACCAGTTTTAATGTGCAGCATGTGGATCTCCATTGGGTACCTATGAGGGATAATATGATGATAAGATATTGAAATTTTCAGTCCATCTAAATGGCTACTTTAGTGCACGGGAATCTGCAGCTAACCATAAACAAAGTTGTCACCTCTAAGGATCAAGATGGCATGCTCCAAAGTCTATAATTATATTTTTACTATTGTCAGCCAGCGCCTAACTAATATCCCATCCGAAAGTAAGTGGTGATGCAGCCGAACACGGAGAAGCGCACTGACTTAACTAAAGCCTATTCGCTCCTGCCTTGAAGACACTCATATTAATGTGGTAGAGGCACGCTGCAGCTATATTATGGTTGTAGCACGAATGGGTCGGCTCGGCTGGGGAGGGACCACGCTCTCACAGAATACCAGCGTAAAATAGCAGCTTAATACTGCTGTGTTTCGTATGGTAAGTAGAGAAACGGAGACCGTTTTTACTCGAAACGAGGCATTCCATTTTAGTCCTCAGGGATGACTGGTATTCTGTGAGAACGTGGTCCAGACGAGCCGACTTATTCATGCTACAACCATAATATAGCTGTATCGTGGCTCTACCAAGTACATTTACGTAGTTATGTTTATAGTACTAATTACTCCCGTTGCAGTATATTTTAATAAATAAATAACTAATAAAAAAATAACTAATACATACTTTATTCCGTCTATGGCATGTTCAGAAAACCAGTGAAGATGAAACTGCACAAAGGTGTAGTTGCCCCGGAGGGGTCCACCCGATAATACAGGAGCACCCGTGTCTTCCTCAAACTTCCATTTTACTGCCCAAAAATCAATGAATATATTCTTTATTGTACACCATTACACATTAAAACGAGACTCAATGAAATATATATAGAAAGTACAGAAATTCATATTGCAAAGCACAGTTTTTTTTAAATATAATTTGTCTTATTTGAATACAAATCTAGATATAACACTTTATTTATACACTAGGGACAATACAGGACATTAATAAGTTTCTGCTCCTATAAAAGATGAGAATTAACATGGTAGCGGATTTAAATAGAACACTACCCCAGGATGGTACCAGCGACTAAGGTGACGGAGGATCCCTCGCTGAGTATCCACGCCCAAGCTATCCTACTTTTCCTGAGCGTGGGTTTTCAGGCTGCACCGCATATTCTGGGGGGCGGGGGATTATGCTCGATAAACAACAAACATTAACGTCACCGTCCACTACCATCTGGAAACGGGGAAGCCGGTCTTGCTCCTTCTAATCGAAATACAGGTGTCCTCTACGGCTGATACTTCGTATCTCTCCTACCCGGGGTCCAAAACAGACCAGTTTGGTCTGTCGAAGTATTCTTTTCTTAATCCTGGTCACGGCATGATCTTGCACACTACATTTATCTCTTATCACGTAATTTCTCACCCTGTCATTCAGATTCAACCCTAGCATACTCCTTAAAGACCGCATTTTTACAGCATTTATTCTACTTTCGTGCTTCTTTTGCCACACCCAACTTTCACTACCATACATTAAAGCAGGGATTAACACAGCATGTATGAATTGAATTACCATACGTGCTTTTTTTGACACATTCTGATTCTTCATAGTAGAGTGTAGTGCCCAATTCACTCTATTCCCTGTATTTACTCGTCGTTCTATATCCTTATCATATCTACCATCCCTGCTAAATACACATCCCAAAGACACGAACTCACATCGGAACGAATACACTTTCTCAATCAACTCCTCTTCTATTCTTATTTCACATAACGTTTTGCTTTCTTCTCTTTCACAAACCATCAATTTCGTCCTACTTGCGTTCACTTTAATTCCCATTTCTTTTAATGCCCAGTTCATTAATGTAACCATCATTTGCAACTCAGCCGCCGACGACGCAAATATGACTTGATCATCGGCGTACGTTAACTCGCCCATTCTCAACCTACATTTTATCTTTCAAAGTTTGCAAACAACTGTCCATAAATAGGTTGAACAGCCAAGGGGAAGCTTTACAGCCCCGTCTGACACCATTTGGATACCAAATTAGTCAGAGTAGACCCCGTTAATCCTGACATAAGCACTAGAGTCCCTATAAAGAGACTTTAATGCCTGTATCAAACCAGCGCTCAACCCATATGAATTCATTTGTGTGTGTGTGTTTGCCATAATACAGTCCTGTCCACTCTGTCATAAGCCTTTTCCAAGTCCATGAACGCACAAAAAACTTTCTGGTTTTTGGCCAAAAACTTCTCCGCAATCATGCAAATTAAAAAGATTTGAATGTACAACCCATTCCCTTTCTAAATCCCGCTTGCACATCCCAAATTTTTCCATCAGTTTCTTTCATAACCCTTTCAATTAACACGCTAGCATACCCACAATACTAAGCAAGCTGATACCACGGTAGTTTTTGCGGTCCTGTTGTCACCCTTTTCCTTTATATATTGGTACTATAACTGCTTTACACCAGTCTTCCAGTACCCGTTTTAATTCCTAACATAAATTAAACACGGTGTACAGCAGGCCTGCCACCACTCCCTCTCCAGCCCTTAGCACTTCGAGTGATACTCTATCATATCCAACTGCCTTACCAGTTTTCATGCTTTTCATTGCTTTCATTATTTTATTTACACTTATCTCCATACCCCTTTCCACTTCTTTCTGAATTTCTAGTTCATTTAATTCAGACGACTCTTCACTCATAAACACGTTTTCAAAGTATTCCTTCCATCTGATCTAATAGATCAATTTCATAATATGTTAATGTAAATAAATATTTTTGTAAAATATCAGTGCCATGGGATTCTATTCCCTGTTACACCGTAATTTTTTCTATAAGGTAAAAAAATCATCCAGTATAATGAGTTAATTGGTGGTTATGTGGCCGAAGATGTTTAAACGCATTGACTTGATAATATTAACAAAATCTTATTTACTTTGCCTTTAAGATACCTACATTATAATCTGATCCTACCTGACTTACCTTACGTTATTTTAAATAGGAAACTCACAGAATGGCTGGCAACCATCGATATATATGTACTACATATAACTCAACGCTGACAACAAAATGTTTTTATAGTTTAGACGAATATATGACTTATAAAGAATTCTACAATAATGGTAATTATAGAAAAACTGAATAATTGTTGTCATTTAATATTTATTTTATTTTTTTGACATTTTTTTTATATATTTGACAAACATATTCATAATTAGTAAAATTTTGACTTTTATTTATTATAATTTAAAAACTTGGCGCTGCAATATTTTTAAATTATTACATATTTTTCTTTAATAATTTAACCTCATTTTTTAATAATAATATTTATTCGTATGTTGTAAAGATATTGCACGCTATTGTAACGGTATAATGTAAGGTCTCATTAATAAATAACAACCTCATAATATTATGTACTAATGAATAAATTTTGAATTTTTGATGAAAATTTAAATTCTAGTAAATTATTCTACAGCAAATAATGTACGCATGATGATACAAACCGTTTGGTTCAAATGCGTGGGATGTCAAAGACAAAAAGCTGGGGTTTGTAATGATATCCTATGTTAGAATACTTTACAGCGCAATTGGGAGTGGTTGGTAGTGGGGGGGGGGGGGTAAGAACTCTTCTACTAACTAATAATCGGTTGTCTTACTTTCGCTTTATAAGCCATAATCCTATATTTATATAAGGATTAACGACCCGCGGCGGCTTTGCTTGGGTGATTTCTGGATCTCCACAACAGCGCCACCTACCGGGTCCAGTTGACGTTTTAAACCCTCCAGGGACCCACTCAAACACGCACAAAAATTAAGACTAACGGACAACAATGGATTTTTTCGTTTTCGTTATATAAATGGATTTTTTTCGTTTCGTTATATAAATGGATTTTTTTCGTTTTCGTTATATAAATGGATTTTTTTCGTTTTCGTTATATAAATGGATTTTTTTCGATTTCGTTATATAAATGGATTTTTTCGTTTTCGTTATATAAATGGATTTTTTAGTTTTCGTTATATAAATGGATTTTTTTCGTTTTCGTTATATAAATGGATTTTTTTCGTTTTCGTTATATAAATGGATTTTATTCGTTTTCGTTATATAAATGGATTTTTTCGTTTTCGTTATATAAATGGATTTTTTTCATTTTCATTATATAAATGGATTTTTTCGTTTTCGTTATATATGTTACACTAAACTAGTTTGTCCTAAGCCAAATCGGTTTATCTAACGCGTGTCAGACATACTAGTTTAGCCCAAGACAATCCAGTTTGGCCTAAATATTTTGGCATAATTATTTTGGCCTAGGAATATATGTTTTTTGATAAGATCGGTCGAATCTGCTCTTAAACCGAATGAACACGCCCCGACTTTACATAGTCTTGTCTGCCCTACCCCTAGAGTGATTTTGTAAAGCCGTAGGCGCGGAGGGAGAGTAGCCCACGCCTGCCGTAGCAATTCGCAGGCACCTGTATGAGCCGCAGCGGTTGAGGCTGGTCACCGAAAGCGATCAATAAGCCGAAACTGCGAAGATGAGCTTGAGTGCCTGCGATTTACTACGCAAGGGCGAAGGGGCTGCACTTCCCGCACTACCGAAGCTTTTTCAGAAGTAAATTTAGGTCAATAGTAGGTTAGGTTAAGTTAGATTAGATTATGCAATGATTCAATCAATTTTGCCAAGGCCAAACTAGTTTGGCCTGAAATCTAGTTATCCGCTAACACACACACACACAACACACACACACACACACACACATACCCATATATATATATATAATACATGTCACATTTTCGTCGCGTTCTATGACCTTTCTCTCTGTTTGCAAAAGATTATCATTTAATTTACTTACACGTTCGTCCCGTGTTGACACCCCTTAGTTTAACATCTCCGTATCCTCGAAAGACGAGTGGCCCTCGAATATGTATTTGGAATGTATCAACGATCGCACTCCTGCTCATAATGTTGATTGGCGATTGTTGGCCGGCCTTCCTGCATTGGTTTGGCCAACCATTTTCGTCTAAAAAAAACACGCGGTAGAAGTGAAACCTTCAGAAAATTAAACTTTGAGAGAATGAGACGAATGCAGAGTATCAGGAGTAGAATAATTTTAGGGATTTTTTATTATAATATTGTTAGCAAATTGAAAAACTATTGAAAATTTTTTTTCTACATATATTACATATTATACAGACTACAAATTTTCAATTTCAACAAATGACACCAGTAGATTTTGGTAACTATAGTATATAAAAGATAATAAGAAACACTGTATACTGTATTCTATCTCATTCTGTCGCAGGCAAAATCCTATAGATGTATATGTTTGTCTCTTTTTAGTGTCGTTTTTTCATTTCATCAAGTTTCAAATCACAATGATTATAAAGAACTTTTCACTTCAAAACACTACATAATGTATTCTATGTCATTCTCTCGCAATGTAAATCTTCTAGTCGCTTTTTATTTCATAGAGTCTCAAAGCACAATGATTAAAAAAGAAGTTTTCACTTCAAAACACTATATAATGTATTCTATTTCATTCTCTCGCAGATTAAATCCTATAGATGTATATGTTTGTCTTTTTCTAAAGTCGCTTTTTCGTTTCATAGAGTCTCAAAGCACAATGATTAAAAAAGAAGTTTTCATTTCAAAAGTAATAAGTCACTTGAAAAAACACACCAGAAAGAACACTAGGCACGCCTTCCACCGTGCCAAGCCTCGTACGCAGATGCTATGGGGCCAGAAAAATTGAACACTCAAGAGCATCAGCCTTCCTTACTCCAGTGGCGGAACTGGTCTATGGCTTGAAAAAACATCCTGCTTATATAATGCACGAGCGGTCGAGCCAAAGTAAAATTACTGCTTGCAAATAAAAAAAACTAATTGGAATTTGAGCGAATTGCCATTTAATTGCATTTGAACAATGTTTCATTCAATGTCTCTGCTGCATGATCCTTTTTCGATCAAACCGATCCATTCGTACTGCAAACACAGCTGCAGCGGTATCTCTACCAGAACAAAAAGTAAATAGTCGATATATAGGTACTTACATTTGTAGGACCATTCCGAGGAAGATGTATCACAGTTTGCAAAACCTGTAACAATAACTTTATTTGAATCAGTAAGCAAGAAATGTTTGTTAGGTTGGCTAAATTTTATTATTTAAAATGTGTTGTGTACTTAGACGTATAGTTTAGGGTTGTGAACAAAACTTTTATAAATTTAAAGTTATCAAAATCAAAACTGTTTCTCATTAAAACTGAAAAAAAAGCGAGGATGTTAACTACGACTTTTTAAATTTAGATTTTGATTAATTCACAACGGTTACATCACCTTAAGTTATATGTAGAAACTTTATTTAAAATAACGTATAAATGTTTAATATAATCTGCGTGTAAGATACTGTAATACGGTCTGTGTAAATCGGATTAAAGATTAGTATTTAAAATTTGAAGCTAGCCTTCGTTAACTAACTCGTTGACATCAGGACGTCAAAGACCTCAGTTCCATCCGTGACCACTGGTGCTGTAAAGCGTCCGAAGCGGTGGGAATTAAAAAGTGAAGATTAAACGCGATGGAATCGGTAAAATAAGTTTTATTTAAAAGATTATAAATCCCGAGTCTATGCGTAAGCACAGGTGCACCCTCTATTCCCTCACCACCAGAGTACAGATTTACGTGCTAACCGAGGCACGGGAGTGAAACACCGCCAACCTCCTGACTTTGGGCAGTTACTAAGGATTTTTTGACAGAAAACCTTAATAACTAATTTTAGGTAGACTCAAGATTCAAACCCACGACCTCAAGCTCAGCAGTCACGCTTACTACCACCAACGAGGCAGTCTAGTAAAGTAAGTTAAAATAGAGGTCATGATGTTTTTGATTTTTCGCATAGTCGTCCTATACTCAATTCGCAGGAAATGTGGTGACTATATCAAAATTCGATTATGGGTGGAGAATTTTTTTTATAGGGTAGGGTGACAAACGAGCACACAGTCCACGTAAAAGTAAGTGGTTGCTGTGGCCTATAGACATCTACATCTATCCTCGATTACGAATCAAAATGCAGATGCGTTGTCACCCGTGAGGACTAAGATGGAATGCCTAGTTTCCAGTGAAAATGATCTCTGGTTCTTTACATTCACCATATGAAACAGCAGCATTAAGCTTCTATTTTACGGTTATACTCTTTGAGAGCGTGGTCCTTCCCCGGTCGATCCGACCCACTCATGCTACAATTAAATATAACTGCAGCATAGCTCTACCACGTATAGGAATATTTTCAAACGGATATAAAATAAGCAAACATCAATTTTTGTCTGAAATAAGTTTGTACAAAAATATTAATGAGGTAACAAAATAGTAGGTAATATAAAAATTAAAAGATTCTATTTCATTTTCCTCAAACTTTATAAAAACTTAAAATGCTCGAGTCAATCAACAATCACTCAAACTCTAAAAGTCAAAATTGCTCATACTTCAATCAAAGCGATGTAATTTAAAATTTAAAAAGTTACTTGTTTAGAAACAAGTCTTTATTATTCTAACCACGGTTGTGGGTGAAAACTTTTTCACCCATTTGTTCTTTTACAAGTTTCGAGCTAGTAGAATGTATATACGTCCTAAGAATTTTCATTAAATTTGAGATTTAGTTTTTTTATATGATAGGGTGAAAAACGAGCACACAGTCCACCTGATGGTAAGTGATTCCTGTGGCCCATAGACATCTGCATCTATCCTAGATTACGAAACAAAATGCAGATGCGTTGTCACCCCTGAAAAAGCCATGAAAAAGGGTCTCCGGTTCTCTACACTCATCACACGAAACACAGCAGCATTAAGCTACTATTTTACGCTGGTATTCTGTGTGAGTCTGTGCTTTTTTTATTAAAAATGGAACTTAATTAATCAAAACGTTCGGGTGGTAGTGTGGCAAAAGAGCGAATCATGTCCATGTTTTTTTTGTCGCTGATATTTTATATTCGTAGGCATGTTATACTCGTACCAAGAGGCAGATTAAATGTCGCCGCCCCCCTAACGGCCATTATTTTGCAAGCAAACCAAATGATAATTTACTAGGGCCGATGCAGATGCAAAGGTAGCATTTTGATAGCATCATAAACGGTGCGGAGTAAAAGTCTAAAGGCATAAATATCTTTATCTCAACAAAAGATTCAATCAAATTGTGTGACACTGCGCACGTGTAAATTAGAGAATTGATTAGATAGTGAAAGAAAAAAAATCAAATTCAGATTTTTATTGAGCGTATTTTTTTGCGTTGAGCTACAAATATATACATATATACAAATATATATTGGCGAAAAAATTATGTACATTGGCCTAATTAAAAGCAGACTTCGAAATAATGCACACACACACACACACACACACACACACACACACACACACACACACACACACACACACACACACACAAAAAACTATATATATATATATATATATATATTTGTGTATATGTATATACATATACATATAATTTTATTCACTTTAAACTTAGAATATTAAATGTATCGAACAAAATATTAATACACAAAATTGTTTAAAACGAAATTGTGCTTAGATATACGGAACGTAACTGGCTATGACTCTGCTCTCTCTTGCTTAAATTCCTCACTCAACTCCCGTTCGCCTCGCCCGATCACACTTTTCGTAACGCTTTCGTCACGCAGTCGCCAGCTTACTCCCCAAGTCAAGCGTGCGTAAAGAAGTTTTACTTCACATGGAATTAAATAATTTCACCTTCTGAATTCTTCTTTACACTTGTCCTAGCATTGACCAGTGAAGAGATTTATAAAACCTGCTAGGGATCCTGTAGAGTTTAGTTGTAATAAAATTAAAACCAAACCCAAGCATACTTCTACAAGACATCACGATACATTAAGCTCATTATGTCAAAATGAATAGTAAAGAGTTAAAACTACTTTGGGTTAACTATAACATCGGGACGTCAAACTTTACTCCCCATCGTGATCATAGGTGCTGCAAAGCACTTTCACAAATCGTGAGCTTAAAACAAGTAAAATTAGTAACAAGTAAAACAAGACAAAGCCCTTTAAAGTAGTTGTAAATATACAAAACTACTTAGAACCTCCTCAATAGAGACTGAACTTACTATTATTTATTCTGTGACTGAACTTACAAACAAAAATATGCTTAGCATCTCGACAGCTAATCAATATTCTGGATATGAATGGAGATTTACAGTTGTAATTAGATGTGCCAGATTGGAAGACCAAAACATCTGGACAAATTTTGAAAATGTCGGGATTTTGGAATTGTTGTCGGGAGAAATAAAATGTTAAAGAAAAAAAGTTTATTGTTAATTAAGAAGCTACAAAAAGTACTTTAAATTAAACTAATATAAGTACACTTAACTTTTATATTACCACATGTATTTGGTATTGGACTTCACTCCACCGATCCGTTAGTTAATTTATTTCAATATTCAGTCTAATTACTAACTCAGTTTTTATTAAATCAAAGGCTATACTTTAACTTTCCGAGAAGCTGTCTGGAGATTTTGAGTTTTGTAGGGAGTCTGTAGATCATTTGAAAAGTCGGGAGAATCCAGACGGATCCCGACTATCTCGCAACCATAGTTGTAATTCAAGATACGAGCATTGGCGGATTATCTTTAATGCAAACTAGGCAAGTGCCATGGGGCGCAAGCTCAACAATTTCACTGTTCGGTTTTCAGACACAACAGTAAGACAATAGCATTAACCTATATGTAGTACACGGGACAGCGAAAGGGTTAAAAAAGAGCGCGCGGAAGATTTTAAGCGAAAAAATAATCGTCTACTTGATAAAACTTACATCTCCCTCACTCTTTCATCGAATTTTTCATTTACGCCTTCCTGCTAAAGATACACATGCCGTAATTATTTTGCTTTAATGAACCACACTGACCAGGTTTTATCGCGTATATTAACTTATTTTATATTTCCGACGTTTTGAATACTTTACAGTACCCATGGTCACGGGGAGACTGAGGTGTTCGACGTCCCAATGTCATAGTCACTCACGGCTACCTCCAGATTAGAATTAAAATCTGGAAACGTCTCATATATTTACCATAGTTGCCACGTTTGGCAAGGGAGTTGGCAACCACAGTTCTTTAATTTTATTCGTATTAAGAAGACGCTGCTGCCCATTTCGTGATTTGTTTCCCTCTGGCGAGGCTTACGATACCCCCGGGATGATATGGGGTAGTGGATTTTCTCACACCGTCACACGGAATCAATTGAATAATCGGGCCTAAGTGTTTTAATCATATGAATGTATTTACATTGTAGTCTCATTATTACTTAGTGTTGACTTTTAAAAGTTATTATTCGCAATTACTCGACTGAATATAAAAGTGAAACAATTGAACTGTTTTGATTCGTACAGCTGTAATTTTTAATTTGTTTATGTTGCATTTTGTGCTATGAATTAATATTTGGCTGAGGATGGAAAATCGGGTCGTAGTCTTATTACGACTGCTTCTGTTTAGTGGTTGTAAGCTAGACTGCTGATCATGTGGTCTTGAGTTCGAATCCCGGGTGAGGCCAAAGTCAATTACTGTGCGGTTTTCTATTGAGAAATTCTCAATAGCAGACCGGCATCAGGAAGTTGGTAGTTTTTTTTAATTTATGGAATAAGGGTAACAAACAAATACATAGTCCACCTGATGGTAAGTGAATGCTTTGCCCCATAGACATCTATCCTCTATTCATATTTATCCTCGATTAAAAATCAAAACGCAGATGCGTTGTCATCCCTGAGGACTGAGATGGAATGCCTCATTTCTAGTAAAAAAGGGCCTCCGGATCTCTATAATCACTATATTAAGCTGCTATTTTACGCTGGCTCTCTGTGAGAGCGTAGTTCTTCTCCGGTCGAGCCGACCCATTCGTGCTACAACCATAATATAGCAGCAGCGTGGTCCACCACGTATACCACGCGGTAGTGTTTCACAAATATGCCTCGAAAAGCAAGTAAAGTCGTTGCTCCTGCTCCTGATCTTTCTCGGGTTGTCTCAGATCACCGCCTTATCGGACTATCAGATTGAGGGAATAGAAACTGCTCCTGTGCTTGTGCACTATCACTGTGTGCCGCGCTGATGACTAGTCTCCGTTAAGGCTAACCGCTGTGACCAAAATTTGGTTCGGAGGAAATTACTATATGTTTACTACTGATGAAAAAACTTTTCAATTAAAATTATTTATTAGCTAAATATTTGTTTTTTTTTAACGTTTAAGATACTTGCTTATAAGAGCCGTGGTAGCTCAGGGGTTAAGCCCTCGCTGTAAATTTCACCGTACACGAGCATCCCGGGTTCGATCTCCGTCGATGTAAATGAAAATTTTAAGTGCTGACTTACAATGTGCTTGGCGGTGAAGGAACACGTCGTGAGCAAACCTGCATATACGAGAAATAAGAAAAACAAATATTTCGAAGACATGTGAAGTTCGCCAACACGCATTGGGGCGAGGGGGACATTTCCTTGCCCTAAAACACTCTCAGAAATGAGAGGAGACTTGTACCCAGTTGTAGGACCTATAGAGGCTGTAAGTTTAAGATACTTACTTAATTCTAATTATAAAATTGTTTTTTGTTCAAAATAATTATGTTCTTTGACCTGAATGTAATATTATATTGTTTCACCAAGAACTGATGATGTGAGAATATTCACTACTTCGTATCACCCTGTGGGTGTCGAAAGAAGCGACAGAGTTTGCTGAAAAGCTAAAACATAATAAACTGCCACGCGTGGCAACTATGGCAAAATCCCCCCATAAGACAATCTATGGGGGAGGTCTATGTTCCACAGTGGACCTTTAGGTTACAATAGTAATATTAAATCTATATTATTTATACTTGGCGAAACTCTAGTTTCATTTTTGTGATTTGCCTTAACACTTGTACTTCTTTCACAATACTTATTTAAAATTATTAATGAATTAACTATAAAAACCGACCGGTTTCGCCTTACGGCATAATCAGTGTACATAAGAATAACGAAAATGTATGTTCTTTAAGCAAGAATCTTGTCGATTATTGATATTACCATCTAATATTAACCATTCCGTTTTCACGACTCCAAAAAGGAAAGTTCTCTGTTTCCTCCACATGTCTGTATGTGCGCTATTTTTCAGAAACTTCACAACCGAATTTCATGAATTTTTCACTGGTGAAATTTATATACGTATGAGCAAGTTCTATTATGTATATAATATATAAAATTTTTCGATATTTAATTCTTTTAAGACGATGCATTTAATAACTACCTAATTTCTTTAAATAGTCCTAAAATCAACAAAAACATGAAACACTTACCGACTACTCCAATCATATAAAACACCAAAAAAGTTTTCATTATATTTTTTTATTAATTATGAACATAAAATATTTTTTTTTAATTTTAAGCAACTAGAAACTATTCGCGAATATTATAGAGTGATTAGGATTGCACGCTGTAGATGTCCGATAACAACTGCAAATAATCGCGGTGCCTTAACGTATATATGCCTTTATTTATTTATATTTTTTGCAAAGCTTGCGATATTTTTTTTATTGCAGCCGTGTACAGTCGGCAGGTACGGTCCGCACTGCAACGAGGCGGCGACGTGTAGTATGCGGCGAGAAGCTGAGATGGTGACATACGGTCCGGTAAAACCGAGAGCTCGTTGAATCCATTTAGTTAATATTTTATAAATATAGTAGTTAACATTTTTTTTTGCATTTAATTAGTATTAACTGTCGACACCTTAAACGAATTGTTACAATGGGTGGATATGCCTTATGGCATTCTCTACCAATATTTTAAATAATTATGATGCTTCAGAACAATAAAAGTCTAATAATTTGATTAATATGTTGCATAGCGAAATATTTAAAATAAAAACGGTTCATTATACTTTGTAGTAGTTGAATAAGTATTTATTTAACTATTTCAAATGATCATGGTTGCTATACGATTTTATTAAGTCAGGGTTTTGTCACGTAGGTATACTGGAACTTTTTTGTAGATAAGAGACATGATGAATGTTAAAGAACATGAAACTTACGTTAATATTCTTTAATTTTCATTTAGTAAAAAAAAATAATTCAACTTAAAATATATTTTACTTAGTATGAAATTGATACTTCAGGTCACCAAATCTAGATATGTTACTTTTTAGTTTTGAATATTTTATTGATTGTAAATATTACTTTACTTATTGAAAAATATTTCTTAATTGAAGACTGGATTAAAAATATTGTACGTTTGTTTTTATAATTACTGCTTATATGTACCAAAGACCGAATTCCTTCAATATATTGTGCGTAAATATTTAAATAAAAAAGCATTGGTTTTATCTATAGTACCTACTCTTAAAATTTTTAACTTTAGTCATTTTCCCTTAGCAAAACTCCGCACGTCTGTGATATGAAAATAACTACAACAAACAAGTGTATCTGTAGAATAACATTCTCCTAGAAAATGATACAGAACTAAGTCTATTTGTAAGTTAAAAAAGGAGGTCATTGGAATTTCATTTTAATATTAGCTCTTAAAAAATAGTAGAGTAGAATAAACAGTAGAGAGAGAACTCCTCTAAGAAAGTCTAAAACCTTTCTATTTGAATCACATTGGTATTCAAATGTATAACATTTGTTATTTATAATTATTGCATAAATTTAGTATAATATTTATTTGACAATGAAATATGTACAATAATAAAAAACTATAATTTTAAAGATACTAAAATTTATTACTTAATTATCGTACAGTCCTAATCTCCGTGGTATCGTGCCAAGTACGCTGGCTGCGCATCGCCGAATGACTATACTTAGCTTTTGAGCGTGAAAAGAACCAACCCTCGCAACCTCCAGTCGCAGAAAGAGTTCTTTAGGAACTTCACCGCACATGGACCCTAAGTGGTAGTCTCTACAGCAAATGGCACATATATATGTAGTCATCATTCAGAGACTCATATTTGCACCACTTACTCCGTTCAGCTTCAGCTGCCTCTGATGCTGCCGCGATTCTAAACGAGGTACCCCTGAGATGAGAGGCCGCCAAAGTGTCTACACAAGTAGTATCCCACACAAGCTTTATCTTTCTCCAAGGAACCAATGTCATGCCGTCGGGTCTCTTGCAGTTTAATATGAGTTTAAAAGTAAATTTTTGGCGTTAAACCAATTCACAATTTGAACGCAAAACTATCCAAAATTTTATGATTGCCGGTTAAGTTTTAAAACACTGAAGTATGGTCTGTTAATAACGCTTTATCATAGTTAGTTCCGTATCTTTATCAAGTAAGATAACGTAAGTCATTCATATAAACTAGAATGTGTCTAGACTTGGATGAACTTATAGTATTCATGACTACTTTTCGAATTCTCCTGCATAAATATGAAATAATGAGCGTAGTATTTTTTGAACTCAAACGTTGTTGTTTTATTGTTTATGATTTCCACTATGAATCTAAAATACGTTTAATGAACTCAACAACACACGTTATCGAGTGACATATTGAAAAACTAAAATGACTTTTATGCAGTAATTTAATACCAAAGACCTTACCATCTTATGGGCTGCATATACATATATATATATATATATATATATATATACCTATATATACTACTATATATATATGTATATACTAGCTTGCCAGGCAGACGTTGTTCTGCTTTTTTCGACGACAATTTGTCATATCCTATTATAAATCCTTAAATTCGCAAAAATATCCACTATCCTATCTCTCAAGTTGGACCAAACTGCACACGGTGTGCAAATTTGATTAAAATCGGTTAAGTAGTTTAGGAGTCCATCGCGGACAAACAACGTGATACGTAATTTATTTATATTAAGATATATGCCTCTGCACGAGGCATCTTCAGGTGATGTTGACTCTACGGCGGTTGACCGCTAAGGCTTCACTTACGAAACACGTGCCGTATTTTCGTCGATGGTGTGTCTTTCCTAGAATAGTGGTGTTGGGATTAGTGGCGTTGGGAGTTGAGGGAGGGCGGGAGGTGGTCTTCTAACTAGGGAAGACATAATTTTATTTAATTTAGCGTATGATTGCAAAATTAACTATTAATATCTTTATTATAATGGATTTCCGCAAAGTAACGCCTGATTCTATCAATTGCATGTGTACACTTGTGGATATAGCTCCCTGTTGTTTTGTAGCTTGCGATTATTTGAAAATTGTCGCTGTAATCCCGCCAATGTGTCGTGACTTCTTATAAATAAGTTTTTATAACAGGTATAACTGGTATTAACTTTGCTTAGATATGAAGTATACTTTTAGTATTTTTATATATAGAATAAGAGTGATAAACGAACATACATTCCACCTGATGGTAAGTGGATGCTGTAGTCTAGACATCTACATTTATCTTCAATTAAGTATCAAAATGCAAAAGCATTGTCATTCCTGACGGCTGAGATGGAATGCCTCGTTTCCAGTAAAAAGGGTCTCCGGTTCTCTACACGCACCATACGAAACACAGCAGTATTAAGCTGCTGTTTTACGCTGGTATTCTGCGAGAGCGTGGTCCTACCCCGGTCAAGCTGACCCATTCATGCTACAACCATAATACAGCTGCATCGTGACTCTACCACTAGAAAAGTAGTCACTAAGATACCACGTGGAACAAATGTAATTTTCTATATTGTAATCAATAATAAATTTTCTAGATAACGGTTTGACTTCCAAAGATATACCGAAATATTTTAATTAATATATGATGCTAGTAATCATTATACAATAATCATTTTCCTCATAAAATGCAATAAAAATAACTTCGTACTGCAGATGTTTATAAACCTTAATTCCATGTTTCTTACGGTAACGAGGCCTTTATGTGAACTTATGAGGAGATTTTATTTATCGATAATATAGTAAATATGTATCTATTTATTAGACTACCTATAGGCGCGTCACAACGTAAATGTTACAACGTTTTGTGATTGCTGTACTAGACTACTATTTAATGTATCACACTGATATTTGTCCTGATAAGAATGAAAAATAGCTTGTGTGTTCTTTTTTACTTAATTTTTGAATATTGATTTCTTTACATACTGAAAGTGCCCAAAAATTTTACCTCAATAAATAAATCAGGTGCAATGAATAAGAAGAATCTGAAAAGGTCTAAAAGTTAAAAGTTTACTAAGTTTTAAAATTTTCGCAGTGAATTAACAAAGGGCTGCGGTTGCGGTTGAGAAAAAAGATTTGTTGATCTGCAAATAATTGCTCCAGGTCTGGATGTTTGTACTTTGTGAAATTTATGTATGTAAACAAAATTATTACGAATATAGAAATACTGCAATCAATGTGTTAGCCTATTACGGGAAAAAAGGGCAACGCATCGGCGGTATGTATATTTAGAGGAACCATTTTCAACTACTATCGAAAACTATCGGACATACTGTGGCTTAATAACGACGGGCGGCACTGAGGGCCGCGGGTCATAATCCCACACGGAACAAGAATTTGTATGGCCTTCAAATAATTGTTACGAGACTGGATGTTTGGCCTTGACAAATTTATGTATGTATACTGCCTCACGATATAAAATAAAATTCTAGTGTCTAGTAACGTTTTTAGAAACATAATAACTTAAATCAAAACTAAAAAAAAAACCCCGACACAAAAAGAGATGATGATATTCAAACAGGTGAACAGATTTTCTTGAATCACTCTCTCGATCAAGTCACCTATCAACCAAAAAAAAAAAAAAACTATATGACTTTGGTCCATTGAGAGAGAGGTAAAGCCCTAGTGTGAGATGTTACTGGCATTGACACGTGAAGTGAAGTTCCTAAAGGAACTATATCCACGGCTGGTAGTCGCTACTGGTGATAAGAGGGCTGGTTCTTTTTTCGCTCAAAGGCTAAGTCTATTCAGAGAGGAAACACAGCCAGCGTTCTTGGTATGATACCACGGGGAGCAGGTTTTTATGACAATTTAAATTTTTAGTTTTAGTTTTCCTATATTGAAGGTTTTTTATATTGCGTGTTGTGAATATTAATTGTAAATATTGTAAAATAAAATATATTTAAAATACAATAAAAATCGGTTCATCCGTTTGTGTGCTACGATGCTACAGACTGACACACAGATACACGGATACACAGGATACAATATGTATATATATATATATATATATATATATACAGTATATATCTGATATATATATATACATATATCTCAGATATATATCTGTGTATATGTATATACGTATCGGAGCGTGATGGTCGCGCAAATTTAGTGCATTTCCCCATCCCAAAAAAAGTTTTCACTTCGAAAAATCAACCGGAGTTCATTTGTACCGAACTTTGCCTTTTCTCACCCCTACGTGTTTGGTGGGATACTT